TGCTGTCTGTGTGTCTGTGAATTCCCCCCCCCCCATTCCCATTACAATAACCTCTGAATACCTGAAGCAATCATTATGAAACTTGGTATGTGTATCATGGCAACTGAGCCCATCTCAGTGGCATACTTCATAAACCCCTCCCATCAGTCTGTGTGTCTGGATGTGTATCCCTCCTATCTTTGCTAGGCAAAGCTCAGTAAAGTGTATCTGTCCTTTTGCTGCTAGGCAATGACTAGTTAAACGGATACACACAACAACAGAAAATCTTTTGGATGTGTGTCTGTGGGTCTGTCTGTGTATCCCCCTAACATTGCTAGGTAACAACTTGGTAAAGACATTCCTGAAGAAAGGAAGAACTGTTGGATGCACAGCTTTCTACGCAGTCCATGTTGTATCAAAGGAAAGTAGACAATTAGTTCTTCCAGAATTGTTTGTTATAATGTATGGTGTACAGATGTATGGGAGGTGCCTGTTCTAGATGCAAGAGGTCTGGTACTGGTGGTAGGCTGCCTTTCAGCGACCTTAAGGATCTGCTCTTCAATCCATACACTATATATAAAACATAGAGGGCCAACAAAGCACCACATTCTGTGAAATACTGCTATCTCTCACGGTCAGTGGTCAACAGAAAAGAAAGTATTGTTCAGATTGTTAATTGGTTTATTCAACAACCTACAAGTAACGGCTACAGTTAATTATCACACAGTTGCGGGGTTTCACGATTTATAACCCTATTCACGAAACTAACGGAAGAGAAACAAACCTTCCCGTGGACTCCAGAAGTGGAGGCCGCTTTTCAAACACTAAAGGGTTCCCTATGTGCTGCCCCTATTCTTGCCTACCCACAGCCAGGAGAGAAATTCATTGTGGACACAGATGCAAGTAATGTCGGTATTGGAGGAGTACTCTCTCAAATACAGGATGGACAAGAGCATGTCATAGCTTATTTCAGCAAGACGCTAAACAAAGCAGAGAGAAATTACTGCGTAACCCAACAAGAACTACTTGCCATAGTGAGGTTACTGGAACATTTCCACAAGTACCTCTACGGACAACAGTTCCATCTGAGAACGGACCACTCTGCGCTTACCTGGCTTATGAGTTTCAAGAACTTGGAGGGACAAACTGCGCGCTGGATACAGCGTCTACAGGAATACAACTTTACTTTGGAGCACCGTCAGGGCCGGAAACATAACAAAGCCGACGCCCTTTCTAGACGACCCTGCCAAGAGCAATGTGCGCACTACCACAAAGTTGAGACGCGGGCAGAGGTAAAGCAAAGACGCGCTATTGGAACTCTATCAGCAGCCAGCTGGGACCCAGTTACCCTAAGAGAGGAACAGCTACAAGAGCCAGACATAGGGCCTATTCTATGGGAAGTAGAAAACGGCCAATGACCAAAATGGCAGGACATCGCGGATCGGAGTCCCACATACAAAACCTACTGGGCCCAGTGGAAATCGCTCGCTGTGAGAAACGGCGTACTAGAGCGTAACTGGGAATCCGCCACCAGAAGACGTCAAGTACCCCAGATAATTATTCCTCGGAGCAGGGTGAAGGA